CATTTCGTAATTAATTTCGTATTATTATTGTTATACAGAGCATTTAATTGGTAAAATTATTATAAGCCAGATATGAGAATGTACTTTAACTGAACTTGAACTCATATTAACGTATTTGCATTATGCTGACATATTCTTGTAGTGAAGAAAAATAATAACCAACTAAGAATAAAATATTACCAACTGCAATTTTTCACCTTCCCGTGTTTTACATTCTCCTGCTTCTCTGTCAGCAAATACTACTTTGGCATGTCCTCCTCTTCTGCCTTCTTTCTGGCTTCTTCTTCATGCATATAGTCATCATCATCTGAATTAAAATGAAACTGATGTAGCATGATTCTTCAGTTTAGGTGTATATGACCTGCTTAAAAGTATTTTTAAGACATACGATGTTTCGTTAGTACTCTTTATCTATCCTCACCGCCTCATCTCCCTATATTAAGTTAGGTCCTTTCAGTTATGATATCCAGGTTCATATTTAAGACATACTTTTACCTGATTTTGGAGAGCTGTGTTGTCTGTGATTCGTGATTCTTTCACCTGTGTTTGTGTCCTGAAACAGCAAAAATAAAATGCACTGAATTGTTTTTTCCGAAAAATAAATTATTGCAAAAATTGAATCTTGACGTTTTGCTTCGTACATTAAACTGCATTTTATTATTCAGTTTGTTATTTAATAATTATTATTCTGAAGACATTTTCTGAATTTAGCTTGGCATCGAAACCGGTATATCTACTGCATCCATGTCGAAGTTCAAATGGGTGATGCGTTTGATGCCCTTCGGCATTTTTTTCTTTATCAAAGGGTTTCCATCGGTGAGTTGTTTTCATGATTATATACTGAACTGTAATCAGTTGAAATGTACTCATTCCCATCAGCAACAGTAGTAGAGGTTATCTTTCAGCCTGACAAGCATGCAGAAGCACAAAGGTTAAACTTTCAGACCCAGAACTACCTGTGACTTAAGGGAGGGTGATATTCACATACGAAAACAGTGAATCTGAAGTTGGAGTATTTTTGTTAAAGCGTCGCTAGTTTTACTGAGAGGGGTTGCACAGAAACGCTTTAATTATGCAGACGTGAAACAGTCCTCCTTAACCGTGAATAGAACCGATATGGACGTTTGGGCCTGGTTCTCACCGGCTCTTTTCTTTGGAACCGGATTGCTCACTCGATAGAGCGTCGAACTCGGAACCGCGAGTTCACGGTTCGAGCCCTGGCACGGTCACTCGCTTCTTTTCCTTCCGAGGTTGCTAAATGAGTACCACTCTGTGCGAAGAAATCAGAAAACTACACGCAATCACTCATATGCACTGCGGCCGAGACTTCACGAAAATAAGACGCCACAAATTGCTCCCAATTATGAAAGTCTGAGACCGATATTCCAACGATGTCAGCGTTTCCTACATTCTTTTTTCAAGGTAATGGAGGTAGTTGTAGTCGGTTGTCGTGTAGATCCTATGAATGCTTAGTTAGGTCAACACTATATGCCTGAAGGAAGATATCATCATCAAGTACGTGTGATAAGCAGGTACTTTTTGCTCGAACCAAACGTTAGGCACAAGAACTGGTCATGAATGAGTAAATGTTATACTGATAGCGACAGACACCGTGTTTGATCCTGATCGTGCCTGGTCGTTGCGTTTCTGTTGCGATTTTTTGGACGATAACATAGAGAATATGTGAACAATCTATGCCTATAGTTTTAACGAAAATTAACACTTAGTCATATATGGAGGCGTCCTCCTAGCTTTACCATCTGAACGAAAAGCCAGTAGAGGTTGCATTTTGTAGCATCTCTGTTGAGAAGATCACCGCTACGCTGTGAATCTGATTCGTGAATAGTGTGCTACATTTCTTTATGAGAGAAGCACATAAATGGTAATGGCGTATTTATACACGACGCAATACAGTATTTTATCGGTGTTGGTCCGTAGCTCACCAGGTAAATCTGGTTGTGAAGTTTGAATGTTCAGGTAGCGTAGCGTACAGTAGGGAGTTTCCTTTTTGAGTTATGAAGCTGGTTGTCGATTCGTGCTGTTGCTTAAATTGTCTCATTTTAAGTAATCAAGCGCTGTTACCCCTTGAGTACCAGCGCATAAATCATTGTACTCGAACATTTGTTCATACGCTAATTGGTAATAAATAAATAAATGTTTATATTAATCATATCAGCATTAAAAAGTTAAATTTGTCCATAATGTGATCATCTCTCAGCACTGAAACGCGTTCATTGCTCGATTTAGTCGTAGTTCCTGCGAATCCGAAGGTCAGGGTATTCCACATATCACCACATTTTTGTCTCTAAATTAACCGTCTAAAGTCCATAACGACCTGCTTTAGCGCGAAATTTACCTTTGTAAAACACCAAGCTCCGCACGATTAAGGTGTAGGAAAGAATGTGCATATGACATGTCTTCGATTCATCGATTTAACTTACTGGATTTTACAGAAGGTTACGACATTCCAGCTCATCTTGTTATCATTTGCTTCATGATCTGTTTAATGTCCTATATGATTGCAGTCTAATCCTTGTGTCAGGCTTTATTTATGAGTGCGGTCCAGCCTCCTGTCCATGAAGTGTAACCGCACACTCAATTAAGCCTCAGAACCTCGTTGAGATCGCCTGTGACTATATTGACTTTTTGAAGCGACAAAGCATTAGCATCCGCCCGCAGGCAGTCATAGAAAAGGTCTTTGTCGCTGTCACTCGACGTGTTTGTTGGTGCATAGATGACAGTTATATGAAGCGTCGCCTGTTTGCTATTCACGCGGCAGACCAGGATTCTCTTCGATATCTGTTGCACCGAAATGGTCACCCGACATACTCTAGGGGACAGAAAGATTCCCATCACGGCACCTCGTAATCTGTTGTAGCCTGACTACCGAAAATAACCACCCATCCTCTCCGAGAGACGAGCTCCCGTGACCGCCAGTACGTCGAGATTGTACGGACGGGCTGAGCGGCAGAAATCGTTTAACTTTTCTTCACTCGACAGAAATCGAACATTCAAACATGCAACATAAAATTTATTGCTTGTATTGTTTACTGCTGGAATCATGGATTTCTTGATTCCTAGTTGCCTAGTTATTTGCAACCGGGAACCGCTCACGACGTGACTCATTTCTGTGAGAACAATACTTTTGATTTACACTTATCGTTAATTATATTAATTTTTTTGAATTCCTTTCAATAGCTTATATCAGGAAAAGTGTAACACTTTTGTCGAAAGCTTTTTTGTCGAGACGTTACTCTACCCTCGGAAACATCCCTGCGACCCTCACTTGGATCGCGACTAGGAGTTTGCTCACCACCTCTTTAAGGAATGGTATGTATAGGATAGCATTTTTTAAGGGAACGGAATTAATATTATAACTGCACTGTGTGAATCTGGAGAAGTAACAGGAGACAGTTTTTCTTGCGGGCTGTTTCGAAAACTAGCAATTTATTAGCAAACCCATGCAACTGGCGTTAATTTTATTTCATATGCCTTCTGGTCGAGGTTTATGTGCGACTCGACCAAATGGTATGGTTTTGTAACCGTGCAGTGCTTGGGCTAAAATAAGATGGAGCTCTGGTCTACTTCGAACTCTGGAGTGTCAAGTTCGATTCCGTTCATGGGCAGTCATTTTCTTATTCACGAATTCCCTTGCACAAGGAATTTGCCACATATTCCCTCAGCCCGGGATTGCTCAGTATCGACCGTGAACTCAATCACTCAGTAGGTTTCGAGTTCAAATCCTGGTCAGAGTCACTCGCCCTTCTCTCTTTCGAGGTTAATAAATGAACACCACTCTGTTGGAAGGAAACAGAAGACCACACGCTAAGCATGCTAGATTTTGCCTTAAAAGAATTAAACAGTTCTAACTGATGGAATAGAAACTGAGATCAGCACTGCATCGTTAATTTCCTGAAAAGAAGGGCTCCAAAATGGCTCATCCACGAAAACGCATCTTCGGGCTACAAAGGGCAAACGGGCGGTTCGCTTCGCTGTCTGAATCCGGAAAAATGGCATAAAATTAATTCTGCAATCAGTAGGAAAAAATTACTTGAGGTAGTGATTGAGGTGAAATGAATTATGGAATAAGAGCGTGATCATCGCCATTTGTGTGGAAAATATTTGCTTGGTTGGACATTTTCTGCTTGCATAAATTTATCATTACTGTAAGCGCAGCGCGCCTTCGCGTGCTGGTAACAGTATTTTTTAGTGATTACTATTATTAATTAGCAGACAAAGTGCTTATGAGTCGGTTACAAGTCTGTTCTTTGTGATGTACAGTAAATAAAGTGTTGTTCCTGAATTTTTATCTTAATCATGAAATGAATAGATTCTTTTAGTTCTTCTTCAAGAATGAATGCTGTCCATGTGTCTTCATTAGGGTAATAAGGGAACAAAGAACATTTTGACCTGCTGATACGACATGAAATACGGGAGGAAGTCATCTCTGAGCTGCTATAGAAAATGCGGTTGATGTGAGGTGGGCAAATATTCGAAACTGAAATTTCTGACGAATTCTTAGTGATGGCTACGCTGAAGGGGGAACCCATCATTGTAGTGTAACTCAGACGATAAAAATTGTTTTTGGGACTATAGCCGTTTATTATGTTATTATATATTGCTTTGAGCGCTTTTTTAACCATTTTTTTGACCTTTATTTGCAGGCGATGTTGTTGCACTGGGCTACCAGTAATACGTTTTCGCTGGTTATCGCGGTGCTATTCCAAGTGCCAGCCATTCGAACTGCCCTTAAAATCCCTCCATTACCGGCAGGATCGATTTTCGATAAGTTCAAGTCGGTGTACCAAAGGATTGTTTCCAAGAAAAGCGCCGGCAACAGCGAGACGAAGAAAAAGGAGCGAAAGTCACTGAGGGACCAGTGGCGCGATTTCTATGACGGTAATCGATGCCTCTCTCGAATTTCTGTTACCGAGACGCTTACTTGCCTGTCATTTAAGCCAATTTTCTCGTCAGCGGCCCGTCTGCCAAAACTATTCGCGAAAATGATGCACGTCGCTTCACAAATGCCGGCAAGTTTTCGCCGCCTCCGACGTTTCCATACAACCCGCGCGAAAAGTTCTCCAAAGAGTTTGAAGCCGGCGAAGAATCTTTCTTCCGTTACATTACGAAAAAGCGCAAGAACACTAAATAATTTTGTGTCCTTTGTGACATTTGTCCCTAGTAAAGCTTTTGCGTTTTTTATGCATTGCGCTAAAGTCGGTTCGATTTTTCGTAGGCATCGAATTTTTGTTTCGAATTGAAATTCGTCCTGTCTCATTGGATTTTTGACGTACCTTAGACTCTCATCTGTAAAAGTGTTGAAGCCCAGGACAGGCCCATTACAAGTTGTTCTCAGAAACCTTTTGCCATCAAGAATGGCTTACATAACAAGTCTGCTGATCTGAGAAAGTATCTGTTGTTCCGAAAGGTCATGAGGTTCCTCGACAGCTTCCATCAGCGCTATCCTATCTTTCATCAAGATGTCAGCGGCCTGAAGCTGACGGTCAGAAGAACTCAGGGACTAACGCCTTGCTTGTTCTGTTAAAATATCCAAAAATTCTATGGAAATGTTCGTTTTGTCCCGTGAGAACAGTCGACTCTCCGTACATATGGTCGGGAACGGTACAAAACATAGGAATATTTTGTTAAGCAGGCTTGTTTGCAACGAGTACTATCACCGTTGCAGCAGCAGTAAACGTTTCCTGATGTCATTCTTAAGTACCGGATCGAACGACCAGATATTACAAACTTGAGTTACTGTTCTGTTCAAGACTTATTAGCTTTGGGTGATGGTTATAATCAATAAAGATTGCTAGTTGACCCTTGCTGATATTGTCTGTCAGTAGAATGATAATGCGGTCTATCATTCAGCAAGGCGGTTATTCAAAGAATGGCTGAAAGCCATTCGAACGCCGAAAGATCAGCAGAAACTATGCGCTACTCCCGCGAAATATAAAAAGGAGTGCATTACGCCAATTGACCGTGTGAATAACGGTTGATTTCTTTCCCTTCGATGAAAATACAATTTGAGCAGTTTATGGTCGAGGCTGAATAGCACGATCAGAAGTATAATAAGAATGTGAAGCATTTCAGAGGCTGACCAATTTAAATATCTTTGCTTTATCATCTCAGCATAGCGATCGCATTATCAAGCGCTGGGAGAAAAGAAAAATCGCTCTTGCTTCGAGAACAGGTCTTTTAGAAACCTAATCCATGCTTAAGCTGAGAAAAGAGCTACTCTTCCTAAGAAAATCCGCCTGCCCTTTGCTTCTTTCATGTCGCTGCTTCTCTATGATATGGAGACAGTTGTTATTGCGTAGGAGTAAGAACGACAGTTGCACAAGTAGTGCCTTCGAAGCACAATTAGGGTTAAGTGGCGGAATTGCTTATGCTATGACTATTCGCTTCCGTGCACAGGTAACCTCAACAGACGTGAAAATTAACAAAAACAAAAAGGTTATGCATTAATCAATTACTCTAGCCTATGAGCTTTTTCTGTTGGAGCCGAGACATGGCAGATGTCATGTCTCAACCAGGCGCAGGTTACCTTGGTAGATGCTAAAATTAGAGAAAACGGAATAGAATTGTAAGACAAACTGGTTGAGTACACACATTTGCAAAATCCTGTGAGATTTTCCTGTGGATGGCGAAATGCTGGAAATATCGAACCGGAAGTCTGCATTGAACATGTGAAAACGATGTAGCTAGAAGATCTTTCGCAAAAGAATATTTGTTTCTTCAAAACCGATGACTTATTGCAGGTGCTGAAAAACTAGAGGGTCAGTGGATATCAGAAGCCAGAGACGTTCTGCTTTGGCAAGCGGCTGGAGATGATCTCAAAAAGTGCTGCGTAAGGTAGTCTTGTTGGAAACATTTCGCTGCTAATTTTGCGTAGCTCTGTTTTATTCTTACATGAATGTTTGGCGCTTTTGTTTAAGTAAGATGTTTGACTTGAACCGAAACCTCGGTACATTTAAATGACTTTAATAGTTTATGATTATCAGGTTCCATTGCCTAAGAGAATTTTGCGGCGGATCCACTGCGCAGAAAATCTCCGCGGAAACCATGTGCAATCTTCAAGACTAAAATAATGTTTGATGAAGATCTAGTGTCTGTGATGCCAGGAAAACCGGAATATCCTGACCTCCAGCAACAGCCTGTAATAATGATTATTTTTTTCAACGCATGATTGTTCCTTGTACGTACATTTTAAAAAAATAACTCCTTTGGCATCGAGGAACAATGGACGGTCTTCCATGCGTGTCCCTATCGTATCGTTATATTGTCATTCATTCAGGTGAGGTTAATG